GCTAGATGGCTAGAGTCAGACGGCAAAGGGGTGGGCGTGCCCGGCGCGAGCTGCGCCGCCATGACCCTGCTAGGCCGCTGTGAACAGCTCTTCGCTGTCACACGCATCGTCGGTACCCTCAGAAGACCCGCCTGCTCTTCAACTTGATATATTTCCCTTTCTAAGACCTCAGGCCATATCAAGTAATCCTTACAGTAGTCCATTTATTGGGAGTAGCATATTATCAGCATCTAAGAGAATATCAGAAAGCAGAAAATGTAAACTCACAGAAAAGGCCGATTCTCCTCAATCACAGGTGTAAAACTTCATAACAGGCTTGTACATTTGATCTACATATACGATTGTTCAACTTCAGTAAAATTAACTATACAATTCAGTAACACAACTATTTTACAGTACTTAGTTGGCGACACTTGTTCCAGTCTAGAAAAAAGAAAGAGAAAAGAAACCAAGACAGGGAAAGGTTGTACGCAACACCAGCAAATAAGTGCTCCTGGAAAGCAAACGCCGCTATTAGCGCATAGGTGCGAGGAGCAGAGTGAGGTGATATTTAATGTAGCCGAAAGTACTGCTGAACCTAAGTGCAACTCGATTGCTAAGAAGATAACGAAAGCCACAAACAACATGGACTTGCATAATGAGAAATCGATAAATCAGGAAAACATAATATTTAAGGGAGTTAGAGAGATAGAAGATTTCTCTGTTTGTGAAAGGGTCGCTGGTTTAGTTCCCATTTCCGAACGCCAGCAATTCTGAATTGCTTTGGCTGTTCACACTGCCACGCGGACTTATTTTCACTGCTCCTAACACTGTACTTAAGCACAGCTTTATGACAATAATACCAATACTGACCGACCTACAATCTCAACTTGTGAGGCGAAGGAGCGATAACTTGTAATCCTTTCTTTCTAGGCGAACTTGTAAGCGAGCACTTGCCTAGCCACTGTAGAAAAAAAACGTTCAAAATTGTCGTTGTGGATGTCCACAGAGAAGTCATTTCACATTCTATCATTAGTAGCGCCCTTATTTGGCCTATTTTTCTCATTCCTATCTTCGCACTGACATGTTAGAGCGCTAGAAGACTACGCTGGTCTTGTATATATGATCGAAACTTGTGATATTCGCAAGTTCCCAGATATAATAACTACAACGCCTCTTGCCATGTTCCTGAAAAGCATGAATAATCTGAACACCCGATGACACTGCTCTCAAGAAATCCATTTCAGAAGCAGTATGCTGATCGTGCTCGTCGATTAAGCACGCTGTCGAGAAGTGACGCTATTCAACAAGGTGGCTATCCGATCAAACAGGTGGGATGAACAAATCAATGAAGTTACAATCAATAAAGGTAAACATCAATAAAGGTAACATTTTAGTACTCAAATCCGTTACCCGAGAACCGACGAATCTACGAACGAGATCACAATCATTCGAGATCTTGGAATGTCGAGACGGGTCACCCTGTTTCCCCACCGCCAACGCAGCCCAATGACTACCAATATTATCAGATGGTAATTTTATCAGTTGACTTTCAAGTGAAGTTATTTCTGTGGGAGCATAATCGAGAATGGAAGAGCGATTGTGCTTCCAATGGGCATTGATTAGGCCGCGTTCATAGTTCGCGACTCCGGAGATTAGGATAGTACGCGACAATGAAAAAGATATGTATTGACGGGAGATTAGGATAGTAGGAGATTAGGATAGTAGTAGAGTAGGATAGTGAGTAGTAGATTAGGATAGTGCGCTGACAAGATTAGATATGTATTGATCTATTCGCTTGAAGTCGCCCAATCTACTACTCTCCAGCGATTTCAATCGATACGTATCCAATCTTGTCAGCGCAATCTCCTACTCTACTACTATCCTAATATCCTGTCGCCTACTATCCTAATCTCCCGAGTCGCGAACTATGAACGCGCTCTTGGCGCAGAGGAGAGACTTGACGCGTTTCCGCAATTATGTTCGAAGCCCAAGAAACAGCATCCCGAAAAGCGTGACATGTCGTGTGCCGCTGAAGCGTAACCGAAGCCTAATCGAGCTAAAATGCCTGCGATAGAGGAAGAGAGAGATTAGATCGATATTTCATCAGTTTTTAATTGATATTGAAAAATAAAGTTTGAAAAGTGTCGAAAACCCTTGGACCTCTAGTAAAACACGTGGAATACTTGGCGCATCACAGAGTTAACCCCTTGACCATTTCCTGAACTCATATGGATGAGGTTAACATGGGCTTTTCATCTTCGGTGTATTTCCTTGCAAAAAGTTGTTTCTTTAGAACGATGTCTATCCACCCGAACGGCAGTATGTTCCTACAATAAACGAGCCACAAGTGCATTTAGGAGTTCGTCAGTTCCATCGACAAGTAAGTTCACTCGATTGATGGGGGCATCTGCCAAGGTAGTAGTTCAACGCAATCGAGCTACTTATCTTCCTCCCAATGAATGTCGTTGCTGAGGAGCCTTTCTTATATGATCTAGTAGTAGTTGGTCAAGTATGTCAATGGTAGCCAAAGGGAGTAATTTTGAGCACAAGGGAGGGGACAAACCTTCTTCCCGGAGTTTTTGCTCCAAGCGTTTGAGTTTTTTTTTTTTCGGAATTCGACAGCCAAGCGTTTCATGAGATGATATGTCGTTTGAAAGAATCGTTGCCACGTTGAAGTTTCTGCCATTTTTCAAATATTGACAAGTGTGGTAGAAACTTCAAGTCATTCGAAGACTGAATAGCGCCTACTACGCCAGCTGAGTTCATTTAGGCGAAGTCATTTGATGACCGAACTGGTGGTCGAGATATGCGACGAATGTCAATGGATCGAAGAACGGTGTCGGACACTCGACAACAGACGGCTCAGCTACTGCAGCCCGAGGTGTTTCATTTGACAACTTTCATCAAAGGATTGGAGGGTTGTTAAGGATCGCTCCGATAATAACCCTGTCTCTGTGGCGCAAGGTGTGCTCCTGCATGAAGTTTGCGTCTAGCCCGTTAGCTCTTTTCTTGGGATTTTTGAGGGCATTGCTAGACTAATGCAGCAACAGGACCGCAACCGTCAAAACGTCATTGTGTTCTCATGTGGCAAAATAGAACTGTGCTGAGAAAATAAATTGCCTTCATGCAATCGAAACAGTTCAGTTTACTTTAGGTAAAGAGTTTTCAGACGTCAGTCGCAGCCGCTTGTCAATCCCTGTGGGCAGCAAAGGGTCATCTTGAAGAGCTACATGCGTTAGGTGAGTTGAACAACCTATCCCACGTCTCCACAACCGATCGGCTGTTATCATTGCAACAAAATGTAATGATAGTTCAAAAGCGGGCCTCGATATCAAACAGGTGTGGGAGAGCGTTCAGTAATGAAGCCGGAGGCGTGTTGGGCGAGTTTCATGAACCTAGCTCAGTTGCTCCAGTGCCAATGACATTGAACCGCAATGGGACCGCTGCCTCAAATGCGCCCGCGCTTTTCAAGCAGCGCCACGTGGCAACCGACAGCGGAAGGCGGGGCTTGCGGACGAAGGTGTGGATTGCGGGTCGAGACGAGCTTCTTGCGCCTTTGTCGCGCACTTTCAAGCAAAAGGGGCGCGACATCAACGCTTGTCCGCCTGTCTACTACTCTCGGGTATAGAACAGGTGAGCGTGCCTAATCTCGGACCGTGTTTTTAACGTTGACCACCCCATTAATATCCAACTTTTGTGCGAACTGAGAAAAGTATTTTTATAGTTATTATACAATTCTGAGTCGCCCGATGATTTCCGACAAGCCAGTCAAACTTTGAGCTTTTCTATACTTTCAGACAAGTCTTATTTTATTAAGATATCTTCTGGTGCCAGCCTTGCTTGCCACCTCAATTGCGCCAGTATAAATTGGTATTTCAGGGATATCAGATCCGTCGTCAGCTTCAACTTCGTTTGAGTCGAACACGGACAACAGTCCAGCTACTGGAAGCGGTGAAACGAAAACACGAGAAGAACCCGCTCATAAGAAACGTCTTCAATACAAGTGAGGCAACAATTTCCTTCTAGTTCATTAAATTTTTTTCTCCGTTTATTGATCACAAAATGTTTGTGCTCAAAATAACAACATAATAGCAACTTGCCCCACAAAATGACTTACTAAATAGTATGGTCAAATTTTGACAGCTACTGCTGTACATGAAAAAATGCGTCAAGACAATGGCTGGAGCGCGGATCTGCTTTGACTGCTTCATTGGCGGTCCCTCAGCGCGCCGAGGGCACCACCTCCTAACGTCTCCCCACCAAAAAAGCCCAATGATGTCATCAAAACCAACCCGCCCTCCAGTCATCGCTTTCACTGCCTCTAACTCTATGACTACTATTACTGCACACCGCAGTCAAAGATACTACCGTAAGTTAACAATTTTTTTGAGACAAGGCGCCCCTAAGAAAGCTTGATTGCTTGAAGAGAAACTTTGTAATCTTTGCTGTATCAGCAGTTCTTAACGAGGTAGCGTAAAATCTCCTCTATGAGTTACCAGTGCAGTTTCTTAGATGTAATATCGGTCTATGTGTTTGTAGCTCAAAAAAGCAATTTATGGAACTTCGTATCCTACTTAACTATAAAGCGCTTCGTCTGTCGTTCTGTATGTCTGTCACGAAATTCCCTAGCTCCTCGGGATCCGCCTGGAGGACCGGGTCAAGTGTGGGATGGGTGGGCAAGGTCTCACGAAGTACAAAACACACATCAGCTAAGCGGAGCCCCGCCCACAGAGGGCGTGGCGTGCGTCGAAATGAACTGTACCGAAGACCAAGATTTCGATTTCAGTGACAAAACGACCTCGAAACTGGGCCAAAAAGTGGGTAAGGTGTGCATTGGTAAGTCACATCGAATTAGGGAGACCCACCCCCGGTGGGCGGGGCGTTCTCTAAAAAAGCAGTGCTTTATGAAAAATTTCATAACTCGGTTGGGAGAAAGCCTACAGAGCAGAAAACAAATTGGTGTAGGGGAGCAATGTCTAAGGTGTTTCCTGCATACATGACGTGGGCGAAGGCCGCCCAGCATGGGCGGAGTTATCCACGAAAATTCATAACTCGGTTCCAAGAAGTCCTGGAGACCGGGAAAAAAGTGAATTGAGTTCGTCAACGGAAGGGAGGTCAACTGCTATTGGTGGGTAGGGCGTGCACCAACGTGGGCGGAGTTTGCCCTAAACTTATAATTTAGTTCCGGAAAGGTCCAGGAGACCGGGAAAAGATTGGTCGAAGTCCGACAGCGCGCGCACGGGAGGACAGCTGCTATTGGTGGGTAGAGCGTACACCAAAGTGGGCGGAGTTTGCGACGAAAATTCATAACTCGGTTCCAAGAAGTCCCGGAGACCGGGAAAAGGTGGATAGAGGTGGGTGAAGGAGTGGAGCCCAACTGCTGTTGGTGGGCGGAGCATTTCCAAAGGTGGGCGGAGTTCTCCACAAAACTTTGTGACTCGGCTGCAAGAAGTCCTGGAGACCGGGAGAGAAGTGGGCGAAGGAAAGGAAGTGAATTTCTAATGGTGTGCGGAGGATACACCAAAAAAGCAGGATTCGCCGCCAAAATTATAAATCGGCTCAGAGATAGTTCAGAGATTGGGTAAAAAGTGGGAAGAGGTTGGCGAGGAAGAAAAAGATAGGTGGGACATGCAAAGAAATAGGCGGGTTTACCACGAGGTTCATAAATCGGTCCGGAGGCAGTCCGAGGCCGGGAAAAACGGACAATTGGTTGACGATTACGGACAATTGGTGGAGGAAGGAGGGAAGGTCAAAAGCCATCGGTGGATGAAGCATGGGGCAATCGGATAGAATTCAGCTTGAAAGTCAAATATTCGAAGTGTATTGGGCCAAATTCGAAAATTCACGCCGCACCATCCTATATCGCCGCAGAACTGTGCTGTGCGCGCAACGCGTGCGGCGCCAACTGGTATTTTTAATATTTCGTATTATTGGTTTTAGCGTCTGCTCAATCCTTGTATCAACTGCTACATAAGCAATCAAAAGATAATGAAGAGTTAAATTTTTTCGCGGATGTTGACTGATGGCGAATAGGTGAATAAATATTATAATGATGGAGGAAATCGAGTTTGATGGTCACATTACCGTACCCAGTTTCCAGTACCCTAATGGTATGGATAATGCGAAAGCGAGAATGGAAGATTTTGTCGGAACACTAGCTCTCTGATTCAAAAGGCGCTCAAGAATACCAGAGCCAGCTCGAGATTCCAAGGGATCGAACTTCCACGGAGCGCATTCCCATGCTCCTCCGTAGAAATTTCTCCCTTAGATTCTCGAGCTCTGATTCAATAGAGATTACTGAGACGCTGTTCCAGTGTTCAATTGGCGACACTCTTTGATTCACAGTTCTCATTTTCGCTTGAACAGAGGTGATGCAGTGGCAAGAGGAGCCGCTACGAAGGCATGGTCCGGAGATCAATCCCGGATATTATCTTGCATGTCCCTCAGTCATTTTCAGTGGCAATGCAATAAGGAGTACATTACTGGTCTTATTTTCAAAAAGCGTCGTAAGGTTCAAAATATTGCCTACACTGGCTTGATGACAAGGTTTTATGGCCACAACTGCGGCAGAGGGAGAAACTTCTAATTCAATCCGGACTTTTTTCGCCGTGTAATATGTGCAGATTATGAAACAGCGTGAAAACTGTCGTGCTATAGGCTATCGTGGAGGAAAAATCGCCCAGTTAAAACCACAACCGACGCACCAGCGTCTGCTAAGGAACCTCATCGGAAGCCGCAAGGAAACGTATGTTTTGCATGTGCAACGACCCCAATTTTTCATCCCCGCCATGATCCCACTCATCTGTTTGGCTCAGCCGGACAACTGCTAGTAAGTCCGACATCAAGGAACAGTCACCGCTATGAGTACTTCTGATTTCTTCCAATCGTGATTGAGTAGCACCTTGGAGCCAGAAGATGAAAAAGGAAGCGCATTCCCTCAGAAATATCCTAACCTTCTGAATTTTCCTTCCTATTCTGAGCCGACAATCATTTTGGGTTATATGGAAGGGTATCGGACGATATTTATCTAAACATGCCATACACACTGCGCTAAATGTCCGATCTGTGCCGCAGTGAGAAACACTTAACTCTAAGACAAGGTTTTGAACTAATGCCGAATCCGTCGGGCGATTATTGGCCGATCGGAGTACACAGCCAAATGACTATACTTTGTATCCCGTGCCAAGCTTTTGATTATTCTGGGCAGACTTAACACATTGACTACAGTGAGACGCGGTTGCGCGTTCCAGAGATCGCGCCCGCCAACCTGCCCATGCCCCACGTGGCCAAAAAGGCAGAAACGCGCGCCGTCGTCAATGTGTTGAATTTGCAACATAAGCGTGGCATAGATTAACACGTTGACGACAGCTCCTTATGCATGTTCGGGCAGCTTTTTGTTTATTTTTTCACAATCGTCATAACTTCTTCAATAATTCCACTACTGGTAATTGACTCACAGTTTTTCGGATAAGATAACGCATGCACACAGTTTTGAAATATGAAAAAGGCCAAATAAACCAAAAAACTAGCCAGAATCGGGTGAAATTCTGACGCGCATGCGCGTCATGCTGTCGTCAACGTGTTAATCATGAATGTTCAAAAATCACGAATGACATTGACTTTTCAAGGCGTTCGGCATGTATTTGGCATACAGATTCTGCATAATAGTAACGAAGACTCAAAAAAGCATTGCCTCGTGTGATTTTTTTCATGTGACTATTTTGTGCCATACCTATTTGTTTGCCATACCTACCGGACACGAATCAAATTTTATACCGCAATTCCTCAAATTCATACCTACAAATCCAATCAGTACGTATATTTTGGATAACCTTCAATGGTGCTGTCCCACGAACCTTCTTCAGCGTCTATCCTCTTGGTGGCGGGGTCCGCTTTTCTGATATAATGACCCTACCTTTCCCGACTGAATGCCTGACCATGCTTCCTCAACAGAATACCTTCAAGAAAATGTAAAATGCAACCTTCCCTCTTTTGTAAAAGAAACCTTCCCTCTTTTCCTTTCATCTCTGCCCCTACTCACGAATTTCTATACTGATTTACTGATTCAATACTAGTCCTCAGTCGACGGTAGAACATCGCAAGAAACGGGATCGCACGCAAGTGGATACGAAAGCAAGGCGAGTGAGTATCACGTAAGTACATGACAATCAATGTGCATGCAATCCACGTGTGCTACCCAGGAGTTCATGAGATTCGATGTTTTTATGTAGGCAACTGACCCGGCGAACGTGCAGCCTGATGTCCATGTAAAATAAGAGGCCAACCATTGCAAGGAACACTCTGCGTTGAAAAGGGTACTGATTGTTAAGCTGCCCACACTACGTTTACGCTCCGGCTATGTGAGCAGCGAAACCAAGCGACGCTTTTGCTTTTTATTAGATTGACTCACAAGTAAGAAACCGATTTAACATTTTCAAAATTTCATTACTTTCTTTGGAAACATCTTGATTAAGTGCCATATCCACAACGTCTTTCTACAACTACCCTCCATCAATTCGCAAGTTGAGGGGCACTTCTCTCCCAGAATTACGGGTCTTCGATGTGAAGAATAATTGGACATCCGTTTCGAGGTGTTCACGATCACCGTAGTTTTTCATCTTCAGGAACAAGCAAGCAAGCGGAACAGCTGGTGTAATAATTAGTTGGCATGCCATCAGCTGATTACGATGAGCGGGAAAGAATCATGAAGCCGAGTTTCTATACGGTATTCTGGCATTCGCTCGTGACATGGTTATTACGAGTTGCGCAGTGTAACGTTTCAACTATTAGAGGCCTCAACTTGGCGATACCCGAAGCAAGTCTAAGCACCTGTAAGCAGTAGGAGAGTGCGAAACAGTGGAGGAATCGGTTCAACTCTGCAATGATGTGATCCATCAATCAAAGAGAGGATCCTACTTCGCGCTAAGTCACCTCCTGGAGCTCGTTGTTGCTGCTGAGCTGCATATCCCCACTGATGCCTTCGTGTCTTGCTTGAAAAGCTGCCCACATCTTAACCTCAGCGAACCCTTGTCATGCCAATCAAAATTGGATCTTCTGCAAACTGGTAGATGTTCATAAGTGTCCGTGCATCTCCGCCCAACTCGTGTGGATTTCATCTTTCCAGTCGTACAATTTTGCCGTGATTCAAAAGGCAGGACTCATGGACCTTCGAAAGGATTGAAGTCAACGTCATTATGGACGGTATCTGGATGGTGTAGTGTTGGTGTTTTGTTGGATGTTCAATTGATGGCGGATGCTTAGCATGGGAACGATCTTCACTGCTGCTGTCGCCCCATCGGAGTTCTCGAATCGTTTTTGCAGACCCTCTCTTTATCGTGTCTATCGCTTAGTCCGACCGGTCCCTAGGCGCACCTCGTAAAGTAGACGTAGACGTACATGAGTTGAATTGGATGGCACTGTTCCTCACTAAAGGTGAGTATTGACAGTCGAATGCGTGATATGAAAGAATACTGAGGTCGTCCATTTTCCCTTGGCTAGGAAAAACATTTTCCGGAAAGGATGGCGCGGATTTAAAGAAATCGGCACTCCTTTACTTATGCTCAACCTAATACTTTCGCTCTGTAGTAGCTTTGACAATTATGAAGTGGAGGTTACAGATAGACGCTTGCACTCGCGAGAAGTGAATTCTTATAGCATAGGTTGCATGTGAATTGCGAGGTTCTACTGCAGTAGGGGAATGCAGGCAAGGCTCTCACCTGCACATTCGTCGAGTATAAATGCATCCTTGATTATCAGAGAATGAGCGGCGCAAGCTGAGCGGTTTGCATCGTGGATTACATGCATGAGCATCACAAAAGGTTCCCTACATTAGTTTCACATGTAAGTTCATTCTTTCATCTAGGTTGCCCAACAAATCCGGTCGCCGTCTCACACTCCACCTTCCCGCAGAATCGCCGACTCGTCGCAGCTCTCGCGAGAGCGATGTGTCGCAGGAGCTACGTGACGTCTTTCGACGACGTGAATCGCAACCAGTCGAATCACGCAGGACGTCGCAATGTTCTTCGTCAGGCAACCGGCGGTTCTCTGTTGCTCACGATAGCTCTCGGCGTGTTTCCCAGCAGATTGAGTCCCGCAGGATGTCGCAGAGTAGTTCCCACGGTGAACGGCGCACCTCGATTGCTCACGATAGCTCGCGGCGACAGTCACGCGAGTTTCAAGAATTCATGCGCGACGTGCGACGGCACTCACGTGACTTATACAATGAACGTGATCTCGACCAAGAGGACGCGATGAGAAGAGAGATGGAAACGCGCTGGCTGGCCGACTATATTCGTGACTATTATGAAGTCGTTCAACAACGACGAAAATGGCGCGACATGCTCTATAATCTGCAGAATCGCCGATTTCTGCGCGAAGCGCCTGTGCGACCTATACAACAGGAAATGTCGCCTGATCGGCAGGGAGCACGCGTGTCCACGAAACCTAGGGTTTTCCCAGGTCTCGAGCCACTGTACGAGAAGCATGAGAGCCGTCACGATGGCAGACGACGTCGCCTACGTAACTCCTTCGTTCGTCGAGCCGCCTTGTCACATGACGCAGTATTCATGTCGCGAAAACCGGAGCAAATTGATGATAGGTATAGTGTTGGCACGCTCGGACTCACTCGTGACGTGCCTCCCCTTCAAAAGCGTTTCCCTTAAATTCCTTGCATGCTTTGCTGGTTAAGTGCTTACCTTGTGTACGTAGGAGGCGACTACTGTGATCGGCATGTGGTAAAAGAGTCTGGAGGAAATTTGTTGGGAAACGATCGAATTGAAAACGACACTTAGAAAGTTCATCTGGACAAAAAGGGTGTGTGCAGAATGGGAGCTGGAAGGACGGATGAGAGCTAATGAGAACGAGCAGTCCTTGAACGTGACGTCTTCTATGGTCTCGTCTTTGCCTCTAGACGTCATTATATGCTCGCGTTAAAAGTGCTTGCGGTGAGGTAAGTGCTCAATTTGCTCACAGAGGTGGTCGTAAATACCAAAAGATAGGAGATATACATAAACTGCTGAAAGAGCACGTGTACGGTACAGGAGCAACACAATAGGAGATATACATAAACTGCTGAAAGAGCACGTGTACGGTACAGGAGCAACACAATGGACACTATAATGCTTGATATGCGGAGGAAACAACCAATAATTATTAATTTGAAGGCTGGCCTCCTAAATTTTTTATTGTACAAACGGAAAGAAACCGATCTCTTTTTGACGCACTGACGCACTCTACTGGTCATTCCAAAAACGTCTGTTCGAGTGAGAAAAAATGGCGGTAGTCTCTTCTGGTCGCACGTTTGCGCCACTTTCCAGGACGCCCTTGCGAGCATGGCAAAGTGGCGAGAGTCAGGTGCAATTAAGGGAGACTGTTATTTCCCCAATATCAA